ATAACTGATCTCCTCTTGGTTGTCAAACTGCTTTGAATTCATTGTCACGACTTGTTCTTTCTTTCTGAACGTGTACTCTGCAGTGTTCGTGTCGGTCATAGAGTCCAGTATGTGTATGCCAACATTATATGCATCATCTGCATTTACAGATTTACTTGCTGTGACACCATTTGCAATATTTCTGAGGTCAGCATCTGGCTGAATGGGGTCTCTGTCTTGGAGGAAGCTGGGGAGGTTACATGCATCATTTTTGTCTCGTTCTTGTCTGGCACTTGACAGGTCCTTATGAAGATCAGAATTTCTGTTTCCATCATTAGTTTATTCTCCCATGGCATTACCGATCTCTGTGCATGAAGGCATTGACATGAGCCACACCAGCCTTGTAGTTTCAGACATCCCTGTTCCTCTAGTCAGTCCACCGCCTGTCTTGACAGTCCTCATTAGAACTTACTTGATGACAAGATCTGTGGAAAGGCCTCCCCAGTAGCGATCGGTGCGTCGTACAACATGGTGCCCAGACTGAAATAAATAGAATTGATGGCAACATGTTGCACATTTACTTAAGATAAAGTTGCCATTTTCCTGTTCGTTCAGCTGTAATGAAACTGCGTAAAACATCAACCCTGCTCATGTACTGGATCCACAACTGTTCAGTTCTGATGTCTCTGATGGCATTCTTCTCGACATCTACCCTTTGTTGTATTCTCTGTAGAGAAGCAGATGAAGAGACCTCACTGACAGACAAAGACTCGCTCATGAGTTCATCACATAGAACTGTAGCCCTTTGTATATCCTCATCATCTGTGTCAGGAAGAGAGTTCACAATTGGTTCATCTGTGGAAGACATAAAGACATCAGGAAGTGTAACGCCAAAAGTTCTTGAAACCGACATTGCATTAAGGGCTGAACAATCAAAAAGTGTCCTCGCATGGCTCTTGCTACCGCCTTTCCAGCCAGAATATGACTCACTGTGTAACTGGCACATGTACTGAACCGCAAATGAACCCTCACCCCCAGTAACATTGCATGAAAAGTTGTCATTTAAATATCTTGGTAATTTTTGTCAAAGTTTCTAAAATTTAACATTACCTTGTCCGGATGATAAAAAACAAAGCAGATGACAATAAAACCTTTCGCCCAAACGCATCACGGCAATGGTCATGGTAACCCGATGCACGTGGGTTCCGTGCTAATCGAAATGCACATGCGTTCCCCAATTTCTTGCCCCATAAAAATCCACCCAGATCGGATAACATTCATTCATTATTGAATTGCTACCACTTGCTAAGATTGAAAAGAAATCAGCAGCACCAATAGCTTGGATGATTGTAAGCTTGACAAACCGCCCGACAAGAAGCCAATGCATTTCAAGTCCTTGTAAGGACCATATACCGGCTCCAGCAAGGGTACCAGACCACCAACACTACAGATGACCAACCATGTAGTTCTGACATCACGTCATCGCCGGGACCGTCTTCAGTGGACAACACAGCACCACAAGCAGTGGAGCAGAGACCTCTTCTCAGCCGAGAGCCGTTACTGTATCTCAACAGCAGAGACGCCATGGGGAACGTTATTCGGATGCTTGTATTGTTGAGAGAGACTCTTGGGGTGGTCCGGGCATCATGGTGTGGGGTGGAATTGTTCTTGCAAAGAGGGTCGGCCCTGTGGTCTTCCAGAACATAGGTCCAGGGAGAGGCAATGGCGTCACAGCAGCTCGGTACATTGATCAAGTCTTGAGACCACACGCCATACCTCATTTGGCACGTCGCCGCAACCACGAGTTTCAGAATGATAACGCACATGCCCCCACTACGAGAGCAACAAGAGACTTCCTCCAGCAGATTGGCATCAGAACCAGGCAGTCCCGATTTAAATCCCATTGAGCACCTGTGGGACGAGATTAAAAAACGGCTGAATGACGGCCGACCAAGGCCGACAACTGCATCTGAGCTGCGTCAGGCGTTCCTCTGAGTGTGGGCTCAAGTGCCTATGGCCTTCATCAACTGCCTTATTTATTCCGTGTATCGCCAGTCATCAATGCATATGGCGGACACACAAGAAACTCACTTGTGATGATAGGGTGGTACATCAGATGTCGAAATCCTGAGGTTGGAGGTTGGTAAAAGTGGATCTTGATCCTTCCTATGGCAGCGATATCATCTGCTGTTACATCATTTCTTGGAATTGGTCGGAATATTCTGCTTGTCCGTGTAACAGTGGCAATAATACCCATTCCATGAAAGGTGTTAAATCCATCTAATGTTTTTACATTGAGGTCCACATTATCAGCCGAGTACTGAACAAACTTCTCAGAAGAGAAGTCTGGAATGTCTTGACTGAATGCAGCGCTGTATTCAAACTTCTTTACTTCTGTGTAACAACTGAAACAGAAACAATCTCACAGATACAGGAAGATACTGCAGATTCTCTTGAATTCCTGACACTTCATCTGGTGAAGGGTAGAAACTATCAGGCACTGTCATGGATTTAATGTCAATTTTAATGAGTTTGATGCTGTCACGAAGGGTCTCATTTTTTCCGTTTCAGGGTCTTGTTTCTTTGGAATACCATAGTGATCATGCAAAATGCTGGATGCTGTAGTTCTGGATGTGATAATGTTGTGTTTGCCATTGACTTCTGAAATCAGTATTTTTATCTCCAAAATGACTTTGGAGTCTCTGTTTCATAAATGAAAAACCGTAGTCGTCACAGTCAGTACCAGCCAGCCAGTCTCCCATCTTTAAAACGAGGTCCTGAATGGTAATCTGCTCATCATCATATTCTTCCAGATACTTCACTACATAGTGGAACGCATCTGTTTTCCGGGAATCGTTTTGTCAGCCTAGTTTTGACTTCTTACACTCATCCATATCATTACATACATAAGAGCGAGGGATGCTTTTGTGAGTCCTGAAATTAACACTGCAAGACTGATGGGACACAGCATCAGAAGCGTTCAAGTCCTGTGCATATTCAAGTCTTGCTATAACCTTGGTAGACCATTACGCATAGTACACGTTTTCTTGAAACGTTTTGATCTGCACTGGGATAACATCATGTCCTCTTTTTTGCCAGAATATTTGGCTGATTGTCCACAAACGATGAAGTCAGTTCTAAATGAAAATACATCTTCTTGTCAACGCAGTGATCTGTTTTCAGCCTCACACGGAGAGCTTGATGTTAGTTTTTTTTGCCAGCAAGAATATCTCTTTGGGTTGATACATTTCCTATGGCATTTGATGTGAACAATTTGTCCTGGCTGCACGGTCAAAGACTCGCCAAGATTCTTTACTTGCCAAAATAACGCCATCCCTCCCCTTCAAACGTAACACCCCTGAATCCTCACCATTATTCAAAGGCTGTTGACAGAGAACACATTCCTCCACGCTGAACTATGAAGCTGAAATATTTTGAAACATATGGATAAAAGTCAACCAAAATGTACATATTTATATTTATTTAATATAAAAATATTTTGAGCATCTATGATTCACATTTATGTAAATATATTTTGATCTCATTAATTGCACACAAATTTAAATTTAAATCCGTTTAAGGTCCTCAATAAATATAAGTTGTTCTTAGGAAGAACGTATCTTAAGGATCCTTAACAAATCTTCATGCTTTCTTTCAAAATTATTCGTTTTATACAGATATTTACAAAGAATGCGTTATCTCTTTCAATGCACAGACATTATATCTCTTCATAATCCAAGTTTACACACCTTTAATCCACACCTTTAATCCATGATATGTGTGATAGGATGCGATTAGGATATAGTTATGACCTTGTTTGGGTTTCTATGTCGTCTGCAATGGCACTTCCTGTACTACTTGTATGACAACAAATGTTAGTAGGCGCAAAACTGACCAAACACCAAGTGACTTTATCTTTATTTTTTAGTCATTTTGTTGTTTTTTAAAATTCATTTCATTTTATGGGAAATGTTAATGTTATGTTACATTAGTTATGCTCCCTTATTCTATTAAGTATTAAATACTTCAATATTTTTTTGTACATGAAAATTGTGTTGTTTTTGTATTTCTCAAGTTGTATATATCTCACATTGACAAAGTATATATTTCTGAAAAGCTTATGAACAGAGCTTTCATTTGAGATGCATCATGACACAATGAAAAATGAAAAAATCATAATTTGACACAAGTGCTTCAGAGTGGCCTTGATCCCCCTGACCTTTGGGGTCAAATTTGACCCTGTTCCGATTCTGGTAGACTTTTTATATGTTATAATGAGATCAATTCTGGGTGTAAATCAGTTGAAATCATTTCTGTTGCAAATTTTGGCGGGTGCCTTGCTATTTTGACTGGATGCTGATGATGTCAGTCAGTGGACTGTCTGGTCCAGACTCGATAATTTTCATACCGCCGTCATACAGCTGGAATATTATGTGTGCGGCGTTAAACAACAACAACATAAACAGTAGCCTGAGACAATTTGGTCAGAAGCAGTTCTGTCACCTGTAACCTGATCCTTGAGGTGTGTATATTGCGCACCTGCCTATCAGCAAAAGCAATAACCTGTCAAGCATATCAGGTTCGTCCAAGAGTGTGTGCCGCCCACTTTTCACGCATCTTCAGCACATCTCTGCTTACCATTTCGATGAAACGTTTGCAAACTTAAACATTGGCCAATGCTTAGATATTAGTTTGCCACCCGTGATTCGTGGATTAGCAAGTGACTAGTGATTAGTATTTCAGTGCTCATAAATACTCCTCGGGTAGTTCATAAAATTAAAGGCAAGGGTGGTGCTTTTATGCTTAAGGGTCTGTAAGTCGCTTTGCACTGTTGTTTCCCTTTAGCTCCTCTGCTCGTGGGGTTCAGATATAACGTTATGTCCGAAGAGAATTCGACGTATTAAGTGGACAATTTGTTTAGATATATATCTTATATGCCACGACATTCTTGACCATAAAAAACGCCCAATTTTTTTAAAAAGAGTAATCATTGTTTCTTGGTTCATTTACAGATGGACAGAATGGTTGCCTGGTTCCTTCTCCTCATGTCAAATACTGAAACTATTTTGGCAGTCACTTCGACTAAAGGTTTCCACCATTCCCTTGGCACTGAAGAAACTAGAAGTCTTAACACGACAACAACAGCCGTCAGCATCCATGAAACACCGTTCTCAGCGGTGACCGACTTTCCCGAAAACACTTCAGGTTTAACATTGCTGGACATTGAAGCCATTGACGAAGGACCTAATGTTAGCACAAATGATCCCAAATCGAACAAACCCAATCCTTACGCTATCATTCACGAAGGAGTGGTGTCCAAGGATCAGTACGAGAAGTGCAGCCTTGTCATCAACATCATACTGAAGCCAGTTGTCTGTACTGCTGGTGTCGTCATGAACACTATCGGTGCCTGTGTCTTATTTCATCAATCCTTCAAACGATCCACTTACACCTACCTCCGTTTTCTCGCCATTTCCGACGCGTTCATTCTCCTAAGTGGCATCGTACTTTTAATTCCGAAAATCATCAACCTCCACGATGACGTCATGGCCAACTTCATTGAAGTGCACATGTTCCCTTACATTTCAATTTTCGCAGGGTCAGTATTCACAAGAATATCTGAATATGTCATATGCGCATTGTCCATTGAAAGGTTTGTGGCTGTTCTGAGACCACTGAAAGTAAGAGAGTTATTTCTGTCCCGCCATGCCCTTGGTATTTCTATTGGTGTGGTCACCTTTTGTTTTCTTTATCACGCTCACTATCTGATTATTTACTATCCAAAGGCCTATTTCAATCCATCCCGGAATACCACAATGTATGCTCTAGGCAAACAGTCCTGGTATGCCAACTCAGGAATTGAGGCAGTCTACACTAATGTGTACTACTTCATATTCTTGTATATACCTCCAATAGTTCTGATAGTGTGTAATATTGGCATTCTCGTCAAGGTATATGAAGCAAACAAGAAACGACAAGACCTCTTTGCCAAAGATGGCATGAGCAAGCAGATGGGTCAAGAACAGCGGCGAATGACCTTGATTTTGCTGATTATCTCCATGAGCTTCTTGGCAGTCTTTGTTCCCCTCTCCATCCTCACCATCATTCAGCAGTTTGACAAACAGATCCGGATCTTCGGTCGCGAACATTACCTGCTGTCTGTGATGATTGATGTGCTGTCGCTTGGATGGAACGTCAGCTCGGCCAATGATTTCATCGTGTACAGCTACAGCAGCAAGCAGTTCAGAAACACTCTTCTTGCCATGTTCTTTGGGAACAGAACAAGGAAGAAGGAAATAGTTTCTCAGTCTAGTGACACGCTTGCCACTAACATAAGTACAATCACTAATTGAAAAATTGCGTCCAAGAGTTCGCATTCCTGTGTTTTTTCATGGCATTTGATTGACTAACGAGACAATTTGGGTTATTTTTCTTTGTTTCCATAAATGAAATTTAAATGATCAGGCCGCGCTGACTGTCGCTTTTGTTGCATTATTGCCCAGGATGGCATCATTGATTTCGTATCGTTGTCTGTAGGCTTTGTGTTAATTATTTAATAATCAGTATGAGACTTATTGTGTAATTATTGTTGACTTATCTATTGACACGAATAACGGAATTGACTTCAATAATTTCGTCGTGTTTATGGAGGTATAAACGTAGAAAACGGTGTGCACATTTTGGGTACAAAAATATTGAAGTTAATTCTCGAAGGAACCAGCTATTTCAAACGTTCCACCAAATGTAAAATAGTTGCGTTCATCTACTTGGAAAGAAATATACAAATAAACACTAAAACGTAGACACATCCTATCTTGTAAATAAGAGAACAAGTATAATCAAGAGACCACTGGCATATTTTGAATGCATCTTCAACCAAAATGTAGAGAGGGATATACAGTAATCTTATTACTGAGAAATGTCCATAGTGAGGGTGATCATTATGCGTGTCTGTCAACCCCAGTCATGAATGTGATGCATGCCAAACAGACCAGAGAGCCACTGTGGCTCAATAGGTGGTGAACAAGAACGTGTGTTTGTCTTGAGTGACAAAATGAGCATTGGCAAGTAATATTTGGGTACAAATACCGAAGATTTATATTAAAGATACTAATTAAAGGAATTGAAAAGGGATATAGACATACATGATGATGATCATGATGATGATATTAAAGATACTAATTAAAGGAATTGAAAAGGGATATAGACATACATGATGATGATCATGATTATTATTATTATTATTATGCGAACGTTCATCTGCTATTTCGGATCTGCTACAGTTGGAACTGATGGCTCATGCATAGGCACATTACAGCATTAGTCGCCGGAGCTGGTCACATTGGCATGGCTTTGTCCCAATGTTGCTTCAGTAATTGGCCATTTATTCGTGGTATGTCTGTCCATCCTGTTGCATTCGCACACTCAAGAAGTGTGGATTTTAGTTGGTGCATGCAAGATATTCTTGGACGGGTTCTGTGGACGAGTCCCATCTCCAGTTTGGTTGGTTTGAGTATTAATGAATTATGAATTAATTACTTGTCATTTCTTAGTCATTATTTAGTTGTATGTATGGCTTAGTTTGTTTTGTTAATTTAAGGAAAGTATTTATTCACTTCGGCTTTATAAAAGTCTAATGAATATCAAATAATGCTTCCAAATTATACGTAGTAATATTTAGTTTTGATTATATCGTTTATATCGGCCTGTAGCCTTTAACGCAATAAAAACATGTTTTGCTGTCAATGTATCAGTTTTTGTTAAAAGTACAGTGCACCCGTGAAGATCCGGGTTAGAAAAGGTCTCCAGCAACCCATGCTTGCCCCAAAAGGCGACTATGTTTGTTGTAAAAGGCAACTAACCGGATCGGGTGGTCAGGCTCGCTGACTTGGTTGATGCATGTCATCGTTTCCAATTGTGTAGATCGATGCTCGTGATATTCATTACTGCATTGTCTGGTCCAGACTCAATTATTTTCAAACCGCCGTCCTACAGCTGGAATATTGCTGAGTGCGGCGTTAAACATCGGTTTGCTAAGTATTATTTCGTCCCCCGACGAAGTGGATCGTTGCTCTTGATATTTGCCTGGCCCAGATATTACTATTTACACACTGGCCCAGATATTATTATTTACTGACCCGTGAAGATCCGGGGTAGAATAGGTCTTCAGCAACCCATGCTTGCCGTAAAAGGCGACTATGCTTGTCGTAAGAGGCGACTGACGGGATTGAGTGGTCATGCTCGCTGACTTGGTTGATGCATGTCATCGATCCCAATTGCGTGGATCGATGCTCATGATATTAATCACTGGATTGTCTGGTCCAGACTCGATTATTTACAGACCGCCGTCATAAAGCTGGAATATTGCTGAGTGCGGCGTTAAACAACAAACCAACCAACTATTTACAAGCAATTGTGACATTAAAGGGATATAACTGTCTGCGGCGTAAATCAGTTCTTAATCACTCACACAACTAACTAAATGATAGATGTTTATGCTTTATATGAATGAAGCACTGCAAGTATTTTTTTTATTTGTGACGTGTCGTGACATCTTCCTTTTGATAGATGATCAGCTGCAGTCCTACCAATAGTGGAAACACCCCTGACAAAAGCGTCATACAAACTCATGTGATAAATGTGTCGACACCAGGGTCATATAAACACATGTGATGAATGTGTCGACACCAGGGTCATATAAACACGTGTTATAAATGTGTCGACACCAGGGTCATACAAACACGTGTGATAAATGTGTCTACACCAGGGTCATACAAACACGTGTGATAAATGTGTCTACACCAGGGTCATACAAACACGTGTGATAAATGTGTTGACACCAGGGTCATACAAACACGTGTGATTAATGTGTCGACACCAGGGTCATACAAAAACACGTGATAAATGTGTCGACACCAGGGTTATATAAACACAGGGAATAAATGTGTCGACACCAGGGTCATGTAAACATATGATAAATGTGTCGACACCAGAGTCATATAAACATGTGATAAATGTGTGGACACCAGAGTCATGTAAACATATGATAAATGTGTCGACACCAGAGTCATATAAACATGTGATAAATGTGTGGATACCCGGGTTATATGAATATGTGATACATTTGTTGAAATTTGATGCAATAGTGTCATATAAACATACGTGATAAATGCGTCATAAAAGCTTTTGATAAAAGTGTCGACCCCAGGGTCATACAAACATGTGATATATGTGTTGACGCAAGTGTCATATGAATATGTGATAAATATGTCGACACCAGGGTCAAATTAACATGTGATAAATGTGTCGACACCAGGGTCAAATTAACATGTGATAAATGTGTCGACACCAGGGTCAAATTAACACGTGATAAATGTGTCGACACCAGGGTCATATAAACATATGATAAATGTGTCGACATCAGGGTCATGTAAACATGATAAATGTGTCGAAACCAGGATCATATAAACATATGATAAATGTGTCAACACCAGGGTCATATGAATGTGTGATAAATTTGTTGAAACTAGCGTCATATAAACACAAGTGATAAATGTTTCGACACCAGGGTCATATGAACACGTGATACATGTTTTGACACTAGCGTCATACAATCACGTGATAAATGTGTTGACGCAAGTGTCATATGAATATGTGATAAATGTATCGACACCAGGGTCATATATACACACGTAATTAATGTGTCGACACCAGGGTCATATGAACACGTGATAAATGTGTTGACACTAGCGTCAATCACGTGATAAATGTGTTGATGCAAGTGTTATATAAATACATTTGATAAATTTGTCGACACCAGGGTCATATAAACATGATAAATGTGTCGACACTAGCGTCATATAAACATATGATAAATGTGTCGACAACAGGGTCATATAAACACACGTAATTAATGTGTCGACACCAGGGTCATATGAACACGTGATAAATGTGTTGACACTAGCGTCATACAATCACGTGATAAATGTGTTGACGCAAGTGTCATATGAATATGTGATAAATGTGTCGACACCAGGGTCATATATACACACGTAATTAATTTGTCGACACCAGGGTCATATAAACATGTGATAAATGTGTCGACACCAGGGTCATATTAACATTTGATAAATGTGTCGACACCAGGGTCATGTAAACACGTGATAAATGTGTCGACACCAGAGTCATACAAACACGTGATAAATGTGTTGACGCAAGTGTTATATAAATACATTGATATATTTGTCGATACCAGGTTCATGGTCACGTGTCGATTCCCAATATGTTGATCCAGAAGTCTATACGTAAAAGAACTGTCTGTAAAACCAACAAACAACTAACAAGTACTACACAATCAACAAATGTATTACAAAATTCACTAAGTTTACAAAACAGCACAAATAAGTGCTCCTTTCTTGACGTGTTGAAAATGCGTGTGTCCCGTAAACATGCTACTGTCCTCTTAAATACACTAACCAGATACTGGAAAGTTCAATATAATACTCTCACAATAAAGAACATTCTCCATCTTTCATGGGTCATATAAACACGTGATACATGTGACGCCTTTAGGGTCATACAAACACACGTGTGATACATGTGTCGACTTCAGGGTCATATAAACACACGTGTGATACATTCGTCGACTTCAGGGTCATATAAACACATGATAAATGTGTCGACACCAGGGTCATATAAACACGTGTGATAAATGTGTCGACACCAGGGTCATGTAAACACGTGATAAATGTGTCGACACCAGGGTCATGTAAACACGTGATAAGTGTGTCGACACCAGGGTCATTTAAATACGTGATAGATGTGTCGACACCAGGGTTATATAAACATGTGATAAATGTGTCGACACCAGGGTCATATAAACACGTGTGATAAATGTGTCGACACCAGGGTTATATAAACATGTGATAAATGTGTCGACACCAGGGTCATATAAACATGTGATAAATGTGTCGACACCAGGGTCATTTAAATACGTGATAGATGTGTCGACACCAGCGTCACATAAACACGTGATAAATGTGTCGACACCAGGGTCATGTAAACACGTGATAAATGTGTCGACACCAGGGTCATGTAAACACGTGATAAATGTGTCGACACCAGGGTCATACAAACACAGGGAATAAATGTGTCTACACCAGGGTCATACAAACACAGGGAATAAATGTGTCGACACCAGGGTCATGTAAACACGTGATAAATGTGTCGACACCAGGGTCATACAAACACACGTGTGATACATTCGTCGACTTCAGGGTCATATAAACACATGATAAATGTGTCGACACCAGGGTCATACAAACACAGGGAATAAATGTGTCTACACCAGGGT